ATTGGAATTAAACGATAACCATACCATTAAAAGGTAGCTACTTCGCTGAATTTTTATTTGTTGGATAATCATGATGCCTTGCTAGAGGCTAATCTTGATTGGTGTATGAAACACTAAATAGTTGATGCTTAATTATAAATCTAGTCCTTGCCAACATAATAAAGAGCCTATGGGTTAGACACATTAAAGACAGTTTTAATTGAGAATGAAAATGAAGGATAATTTCGTCTTTTAGATGAAAAATGGTATTTTGGTAATTTTACTGTGCGATTAAATTCACTAAAGGTCGTTCCCAACATCCAATATTTATATTGAAGTTAATTTAGCAAAGTTGTAATTATAATAATATTAATATAAAACATTAATATTAATATGGATTAAATAAATATATCTAATATAATTAAATATATTTAAATATCCCATTAATTAAATATATGAATAAATAAATATTCATATATTTATTAGGAATATATATTTAATTGGGAAATATTTTATTGCAAAATAGGAAGGTATATTTAATTGGGAAATATCTCATTCCAAAATAAGGAATAGAAATATTCCTATTCTTAATGGGGAACATTTTATTCCCCACTATATAAGAAAAGGAATGGGAGAATTAAATAACAAGAAGTTCATTATTTTTCTCCCAAGAAAAAAACCCTAGCCGCCTATTAGCTTTTGAGAGAGAATTTCTTTCTCTCGTGCGTTCTCTCTTCTTGCACCCAAGGATTCTAGCAAACTTCCTTGCGTGTGGATTAGCCTCCTTGCCTTTGTGTGGACTTCTCAGGAGCGATTCCATCTTGAATTGACTACTGAAAAGTAAATCAAATAAACCAAAAGGAGCCTCCAAACGTGGGTAATAACAACAATTCTTGTATGCGTTGTTTTATTTTATAAACGGATTGTATATATCAATCTTGATCATGGGATTAACGGGTTAATTGAATCAAAAAATTTGTTTTATATTCTGTGTATTATTTAACCATAACCCTATAGTGGTATCGAGCTTAGATTGATATATGTTTTCTATTATTGACACGTTGAATGATTTGATAGAAAAACTGCATGTCAGGGTTTTTGTTTCAATTGTTTAAATTGAAATTGATTAAATCTATTTTTAATCTTGTTGATGAACAATGAATTTGGTTCGATTACAGTTACGAAAACCCTAAAAACATGGTTGCTGTAGGGTTGCACGTTTTGGCGCACAACCACTGTCCCAAGGCTGCGTGCGACTGCGCGCAACCTCCTTATGGTGGCTGTACGCGTTTAGGCTGCACGCACATGCGCTTGCTGCGCACGACCTGTCCCTTGATGGTCCTTGGCCATGCGTTTAAATGCATGGCTGGCCAAGGCCCTTGGCCGTGCATTTAAACATACGGCTGACCATTGTGGGCTGCACGCGACTGCTTTAGATGCCTGTCCCAGGCGCTTGTTGTTGCCCCAAGTGCCTGTCCTAAGCACCATGCGCTGTTGTTGGTCATGCACACTCATGCGTGACCCCTAACCGTGGCCTATCAGTAGTGCATGGCCTGCCCATGACAAGCCAAGGCTGCGCATTCACTTGCGCAGTCGCCCCGGTGTTTTTGGTTACGCAATAACACACGCAGCCTAGTGGAAGAAGCCTATTTTGGGCTTATAGGGATGTTGCTGATCATTGTTGGTAGTACCCCGATCAATGAGTTGTTTCCCCCGAGCTTTTGTGTGGAAATTAAAGGGTAAAGGGTCCCTCCCGATATTGCGGGAGAAAGATGTTTTAGGAATTATAAGGTGGTGTTTTGAAACTTTTGCCGAGCCATAAAATAGAGCAATTGCTACTGATATGAACTTCTCAGTTTGTTTTCAAATTGGATAGGGACTAAACTACAAATTTTGCAAGTTTAGGGACCAAAGTGAAATTTTGCATAATTAAAAGGGGTAAATATAATTTACCTTGTAAATTTAAAATTGAGTTTTTGAATGATATGCCATATTTTATTGATGTCTAAATATGCACGGTGTTTGGTACTTGGCCATCGATCTTAGGTTTATTATTTATTATGGGATGAATGCTTGTAATTTTATAATTATTAATAGGGCTTGCGTGTCCTGCCTATCTCTTTACTCTCAATGTATTCTCTTCTCATCTAAATCCCCTTGAATGTAACTCAAGGTTTTTTTTTTAATATTTAATGTAATTTAGAATAGGGTTATATTATTGTTGTAAAGAAGATAAAGCGAAGGTGTGAAGCAAGTCCCGAAGACTTCAATGAAGTTGTGTAATAAACTGTATGAACCTAGGTTGACCTACAAATTCCTCAAAGCTTGGGAATTTGATTTTAGATTGGCCATGTACTGACACATTTAATTTTATCTTAGAAAGCATACTAAGGTTGAATGTTTTAACATGCCACACTATAATATACTAAAAAGATAATAAAATTGGTGAGATAATAAAATCAAGAATCCTCAATTAAGATATTAAGTCACAAATAACAATATGCCTTCCATCAATATGGGATTAATCAAACCACTATTCGTCGTGGCCTTGTCCGCTCTCGCGAAGGATACACTTTTACCAGTGGGAGGTTAATTATTCATTGGAGGTTATCCTTAATAATGATGGGTTCGACTTAACTAGGTGTACTTTGCTTGTTTACCGCTGTGAAGGTTGATAAAGGCGTAGTAGAGTAATGCACTTAAAAAGCACAAGAGGACATGTAGTGTCCTACTCATTGATTAGAAAGTTACACTTAAAAGATAAAGGTTGATAAAGGCGTAGTGGAGTAGTGCACTTAAAAAAGCACAAGAGGACATGTAGTGTCCTACTCATTGATTCGAAAGTTACACTTAAAAGATAATGGTTGATGCCGTTGGATTGTGTATTCGGTTTGTTGGCTTGATTTACATTTGAGTTTAATAGCTGGTGCTATTAGATGGTGTAGATTAAAGTTTGTTGACCTACCTAATCACCCTATTTTAATTTGTTCGCCCCCGTGAAGGTTGAAATAGAAATGATGGGATTTCGGCCCACTAGGAAGACCAACAGGCCTTCCTAAGTTTAATAGTGAGGGCTATTGAGCTTGAGTAAAATAGTGTGAGCAATTGATTAAGAAAATGCCTTGTTAATTAACATAGTATTAACTCTGTTTAAATTTTACATTTGTAGATTCATTTTCATTATGACTTCATCTACCTTATCTCTGAGATCAATCATCGATAAAGAAAGTAGGTTTGACGGTATGAACTTCACTGACTGGTATCGAAATCTAAGGATTGTACTAAAGTCAGAAAAGAAGTTGTACATCATCAATGAACCTATTATGGAAACGCCTGAACTTGAGGCTACTCATGAAGCAAGAGATGCTTATCAAAGGTATTTTGATGATGCTGACATTGTTCAATGTATCATAATGGTACCATTGACACCTGATTTGCAAGAGCAACATGAAAATTTGGATGCTAGTTCTATCATCACAAATCTTAAGGAACTCTTCTAGAAGCATGCAAGACACAAGCGATACAAGGTGTCGAAGGCATTGTATAGATGTCGTATGGTTGAGGGAGCCCTAGTTGGCCCGCATGTAGTCAAGATGATTGGCTACATTTACAGGCTTGAGACTTTGGGATTCATCATGGATGCATAACTATCCATAGATCTTGTTCTGCAATCTTTGCCTGATTCATTCTCCCAATTCATATTAAACTTTAATGTGAATTCTATGGAGAAGACTCTCTTAGAGCTACTGAATATGCTGAAGACCACGGAGAGGGACATGAAGAAATCCAAACCAGTGCTACTAGTTGCTGCTGCTAGGGGTGTTCGGTTCTGGGTACCCTGCACTTTTTGAAAGAATTGGAACCGGAACCGATGGTTCCTTGAAATTTGGAACTAGAACGGGAATCGACGGTTCCTAGGTACCCAGAACCAGAACCTGTAACAAAGGTTCCGGTTCCGGGTACCCTATAAAATTACATGACCCCCAAAAATTTTTTAAAATGGCAAAAAAACCCTTAAAAACTTACAAATATCCCCCCACCTGGCACTTGTTAACAAAAATAAAATTACAAATTATAAATTTAAAATTACAAACTCCATTACTTTGTAGAGGTAGATTCTCAAAAGTCAAACCAACTTACTTTAAATGTTATGAAATATAAATATAAATGTATTCACATTACTTTTTCTACAAAAGTTTTTATTAACCCCCTTAATATTTAATTTTATTTTATATTAGTCTCAGTTCCTTGTCCCTAGTTATGGTTCCAAAAATTTGGAACTGGAACCTACCCATTGACGATTGGTTCTGGGTAGGAACCGGAACCAAACCCAGGGTACCCGCCGGTTTCGGTTCCAACCGGTTTTTTTGAACACCCGTAGCTACTGTACATGGAAAGGGAAAGGGTAAACAAGGCAAAGGAAAGGCCAAGGCCAATCCTGAGTTCAAGCCTAAGACCCAAGATGTCCTCAAGCTTGCTAGAGGCATGAGCAAAGATAGAAAGGTTGTTTGCTATCATTGTGGGATACCTAGCCACTGGAGGAAACATTACAAAGCCTTCCTAGCAAGCAAGAAAAAAAAATCTGCATCTTCTTCTAAAAGTATGTATATGATTGAAATTAATCTTTCTCTTATTACATCTTGGGTTATGGACATTGGATGTGGTTTTCATATTTGCACTTCTGTGTAGGGACTGTGATAGAGTAGATCGCTTAGTCAAGAAGAGGTAGACCTACGAGTTGGATGTAACGCCCCACTTGAGGTACGTATTTGTTGTTTCTTCTTTCGCTCTTATTTGAGTTGGTTTTTGGTAATATTGTTTGATTGAGTGTTGTGTTGAATAATTGCCCTGAAATTGGTTAAAAAAAAAAGAAGTTAAATGTAACAAACTTCGCCGGGGCGAAGAAAAATCTTCGCCGCGGCGAAGAGGTGTTGAAGCCACGGGGAAGCTGCTGGACAGTTTCGCCGCGGCGACAGAAGTTTCTTCGCCGCGGCGACAGGCCGATTAAATTGTTNCAAGGAAATGAAGTCAAGCTGTGGAGATGATGATGGAATAGGGAGGCCAGAGTTAAGTGCGAAATGGGTGGCTTTGTTAACAATAGAGAAGGCTTGCTTATCTAAGATCTCCTTTGAAGGTATTGTGGAAAATTATCCCTTCTGCTATATGTAAGGTGCTGATAATTTTTAGTTTTAATTTTTAATTTTTTTTCATAGATTGACGTGTTCTTCTTAAACATTTGTGGAATAGCAATTGAATCATGAATTTCATTTGTTGGAACTGTTACCTTTCTCTCCTTTGACCTGTATTCTCCTAAATTGCGTGTCTTTTGTATTAGATGTGTCATTGTGTCTTATTCTTTATTAGTTCTTTAGCACATTCCATTGGTTTGTTTGGCTTAACATGCTTGTAAGTTTAATTACTGGATATTTTCTGTGTATTGTTTTGAGAAGTTATTTGAGGCGGGCCACCTTCTTGATTCTTTGCATGTTGCAACTTATCCAAAGCTTCCATTAATATTGTTCCAACCTTCTCATTAATCAATTATCTGCTGGTTATAGATGGTCAAAAGTCTTTTTGGATGCTAGGAATTGAGTGCATGTTAAATTATTATATTGAGGCCTTTTATTTTCACAGGAATTATCATCACCAAAAATATACCTATATTTGTGCATATACTGTGTATCCAACTCTATATATTTAAATTATATGCCTTTCACATGCTTTTTCTTTTTTATCTGTGTTAGTCTTTGCTAATTGTTCATCTGTTTATTTTTGTGGCCTTTGCATTTTTCAGATGCCACTGGTGCAGTGAGGAAGACTGGGGGCAACTTTAAAGAAAAGCTGAGAGAATTGGGAGGACTTGATGCAGTCTTTGAGGTCATCTTGAATTGTTATTCTGTTATGGAGGTGTGAGCCAGTATGTTTGTTTAATCTCATTATCTGTTTTTATTATATTTGATTGAAGTGTAATGTCTTGAATGAAACAAATTAAGAGATGTTAATGCTTCAAATCATGGGAAAGTTTTTTGATTCCCTGTGTTGTGAACAGGAAAGTTCTGTCAATTAATTATTTGCAGTGACAGATTTATACTTGTTGGTATACCTGTGTTCTTCAGTAGATAAATTGGGAAATTGGGATATGTTATGGTACTGTACTGATTTGAAATAGTAACATATATATATATCACATCATCATGCCATGAGCTTACACAGACCAAACAAGTAAAAGGAATACTGCATATTAACATTGAATCCAATAAGTCAGTAAATACAACCAAAACCAGATAAATACCAAAGGGTCAGTCGGATTACTATTTCAAATCAGTACAGTACCGTAACATATACCATATCTATGTGTGTGTGTGTGTGTATTTGAAATTATCACCAGAACTACAGCCACAATGCTATTTAGTTAGAAGGCTTTTAATTTCTGATTTCTGGAAGTTTTTGCCCTTGACTATCAATTCATGACATAATGATCTATAGTGTATCTCCTTTATAACTTCTGTTTAGAAACTTATTTAATGGAGATTATCAATAAATTTCTCTAAATGCCAAAATATTCATTTTTTCAGGGTTGGATATTACATAGTTCACCTTCTATTCAGACTGCAAAGCATAATCTGGACCTGCAGAGCCTTGTGTTTCTTTTAAAATGTTTGAAGATCATGGAAAATGCTACTTTCCTAAGTAAAGATAATCAGGTACAAATCTCCCCCCCTGCCTATCACTTGTTTGCAGAACTCAAAAGTGCCACAGTTACTAAAAGTTTAATCTCAAATCTTTCTTTAATATAGAGTCATTTGCTTGGAATGAAAGGGAACTTAATTTCTAGTGGGCCCCGACAGTCCTTTACGGAAATTGTTATAAGTGTCATCAAGACTCTTTCAGGTAACTAGTGGTGCAAGAGAATAGTTCTGAAATCTTTTTTTGTTTGTCCTTTGTTACATAGAGAGTACTTACCATCTTTGTTCAGCCCTGTTTGAGATTGCTTTTGATAACTTAAAAATAACTTGTATTTACAATTTCGTACTTATCCTGTCTGCGTGGAATTATTAATACCTTTGATCTCTAGATCTTTATCTACGTAGAAGTTCATCCACCTCTGCTGATGATAAGTCATATAATTTGTCTGATGGGAATGGGACTGGTCACACATCAGAATTGGCTCTAATTACTGACTGTAAAGGTACTTGATAATCCTTGTATTACTGTAATATTTGGGGTGCCTTGCCTTTTTTTCAAACTTATGTTGTTCTCATGAATTTGCAGAGAACAGCAACGAGGTTATATTCATCAGTTCTTCTAAAAGCTTCTCTAGTACTGAGTTGATTTCTTCTGAAAAGAGCTTTTGTGTATCTCAGAACAGTCGGTGGTTATCCACTGATCGTTTGGGTCATTCTGAATCCAATTCTGAGACCACCACTACATTGATGAATGACAGTTGCATTCTGAAGATGAGATCCCGTTCTTCCTTGTCCACCTCATGTAGTGGGACACCACGGAGTTCTGATAGTGGACCTTTAAGTGGTAATGGCCCAAGGACAAAATTTGATCCTGCAGAGAGACCTAATAGTAGAAAAGATGACAAGTGTGGACCTTTTGAGGATAGTGAAGATCCTTTTGCATTTGATGCTGATGATTTTGAGCCCTCAAAGTGGGACTTACTATCCGGGAAACATAAAAAACCTCAAACTAAAAAGAGTGGGGTAATTTGCAGAGATCTTGAAGATGAGTGTCAATATGAAATGATGATGAGCCAACCAGAATCAAGAAATGGGGAAAAGCACCAACTTCGATCAGGTAATGGGCTGAATCACCAGCCATTAAGTAATGGGGGAAATCTCTTTTCACAAGAAAGCTCATGTTCACTTGTCGATGATAAAGAGAATTCTGATCTTTTAGCTGATTGCCTTCTTACAGCTGTCAAGGTAATTCCAACTTATAAAATTTTGCATTACTAAATTCTTTTAGGTCCTATTAGTGCATCTCTGTTCTACATTGTTGGTTTAATTAATTTGCGGGGTATTATCTTTTGTGCAGGTTCTCATGAATTTAACAAATGACAACCCTGTTGGCTGCCAACAAATTGCCTCATGTGGAGGTCTGGAGACAATGTCTTTGTTGATTGCCAGCCACTTCCCCTCATTCAGCAAATCTCTGTCTCATTGCAGGGATAGTTCTGAGTTTGACCACCAGGATGATAGACCTATGACCGATCAAGAGTTGGATTTCCTTGTTGCTATATTGGGTCTGCTGGTGAACTTGGTAGAAAAGGATGGACTTAACAGGTTAATATTACTTCTTAATGTTTATCCTCATTCCTGTATATGTAGTTTGCATGAAGCTGTTGGTGCATGGCAGAATAGATTGTTCTTCTGATTCTACTAAACTATAGTAATGTGCTTATGGCTTCATGTTAGTCTTTTTATGTAGCTACTACTCATCTTTATGCATCTTAATCCCTTAATGTTTTATATCAAAACAATTTTCAAGTTCAGAAAGTTTCACTGTCGAGGGAAACTCTGTATCTAAGGCTAAAGTTGAAGTTCTTTTTGGCAATCTTAGCAATATTTCCCAATTATTTGCATAATTACAACACTCAAAAACCAAAATCCTCCTATGCATTCCCAAAAGTCATTGTACTTCTCTAGCATACTGCTTAATTAGATGCTAACTCGGGATTCTGTTTATTTTGTGGTCTGATATTGCAAAATTCATCCTGAAGTAGCGCCATTTCCAATATCTATAAGCATCCATGTATCCAGGCAATCAGCATTACTGCTAGTTATACTCGTACTTTTGTAACCGCTGTACTTAATAAATTAGATATCTTCTCAATGTTTTATCTTGGAAGTTGCTGGTCTGCTCTTTAGGGGCTAATTCTGGTTCAAATAGACAATGGTCTGTCTGAGCTTATGATGCAGCAAGTATTCATATTGCTGGCACATGACAAATAAATATCATGTTTTGTAGTATTTAAAACTTACAGTAAGGTTACTGCAGGTCGCGGCTTGCGGCAGCCAGAGTTCCATTACCTAATTCAAAAGGGTTAGAAGCAGAGAGTCATGGGGATGTAATTCCGCTGCTGTGTTCAATCTTTCTTGCTAACCATGGGGCAGGTGATGTAGTTGGAGAAGGAAATGCAGGTGATGAAGCTGGGGAAGGAAATGCACGTGAAGAAGCTGGGGATGGAAATGCAGGTGATGAAGCTGGGGACGGAGATGCTGTGCCTTGGGTGAGTGATTTACTCTCATGCCTTTTTTCTGGTGTTTGAAGCAAAAAGTCTACTTCAAATGAAACTCTAAAGCACTCTCTTTTTCTTACAATCGGGCATGATAATTTGATCATAGCTATCATTATTTAAAACCTATGTTATATTACAGGACGCTGAGGAAGCGGTTCTACAAGGAGAGAAAGAAGCAGAGAAGATGATTCTGGAAGCTTATGCAGCACTGCTACTGGCGTTTCTTTCAACTGAAAGGTTTCCCCCTTATCTGTTCATGTGACATTGTATTTCTGAAGTTTCTCAGAATTAATGTTTTCTTTGCTATTAACAGTGCGGATATACGTGGTGCAATTGCTGAATGTCTTCCAAACCGCAATCTGGCAATTTTGGTACCTGTGCTGGAAAGATTTGTGGTATGTACTTATTCCTTGTTGTAAGTGGGTCAAGCATGGATTAGCCACAAAATACTGATAAAATCGTATTATTAACCTCCTTTCATTGTCCTCCTGCTCACTGGTAATAATATATGTATTACCAGTTGAGAGTTTCATTCTCTTAGTTCCTTTGTGCCCTTTTCTTTTAATAGTCAACATCGAATGCTAGTTGTAGCGGTGTAGACAACTGTTGAGGGGCCAAAATCTGTAACTTGTAGAATGGTTTCAAAACAATTTACCAAGTCGGTGGCTATAAACAATTTGACAATTAACATGGTGCAGATGTTTCTCTCGGAACAATTTACCTGGTCTGTCAGATGAAACTAATTTATTCCTTTTTTGGTTTTTTACAGGCATTTCATCTAACATTAAACATGATCTCAGAGGAGACTCATATTGCTGTGAGTGAAGTAATCGAATCATTAAGAGTGGCATGAGAACTCGAGAAATGGATATTCTGTACAGCCTCGGCCCTTCTGTTAGATAGCTGTTTGCTTTTGCAGACTATAGTGCTCATGGCGACGGGATTGCTCCAGCATCACAAACGTAATATTCTGACTACCGGCCTGCTATTATAGTCTGATCGACCCCTTTTGTTTGGTTTTCCCCCTTTTTTCTTTTTTATACTTTTTGTCTTTTACACTATTCTTTGTAGCTGTTTTGTCATCGTCTTGATGTAGGCTGGGACGCATGTATACAAAAATGTGATAGCAGAATGAAATTTGTTTTTGTCTGTGCATTGTCTATATTGTCAGCAGTTGTAATGCGGTTCCCTCGGGCAAGTTTGCTTATTTTTTTTACCCAATGATTTGAGTCTACTGAAGGGTTATTTCATACCAAGGAAAATGTAAATAGAAATTAGCAATGAAATTGGTTGTTCGTATAAGATTTATTATGGCCTCTATCTCTCTTCCTAATTCCTCCTTGGTGAAAATCATTGAAGATGTAAGAAAGTTATATATTATTTCAAACATCAATGCGAGAATACAATTTATTACAAGCTTAAAAAGCTTTAAGCATTAGTAGATGCTTGATCTTGATCAGACAAGCGATTAAGGAAGGTGACGATGAACTCGTTGACCTGATCTGGGAGCTGCTCTTGAATGAAATGGTTTCCATCTGGGACGAATCTTGTCTCTAAATTATCCATATACTTGTTCACTTCTCCACTTGTAATGTAGTCTTCAATCCCTGGAAATTTAATGAAATAGTCTTTGCCACCCATTATTAGTAACACTGGAACTTCAACTTTTGGATTGTTGACGGTGAAATCCTCATGCTTTAACCTGTATAAATATGGAGAATGAAACCATTTCATAAGCAAAATTATTGGATGTTGTGAAAATAATTCTTAATTCTTACTTGTAATAAGGAACTCGCATTGGAGAATCAAATCCAGATTTTTGGTATAACATGGCATAATTGGCAAGATCTTCAATGGTTAGCCATGGCGGGGGAGGAGAAGATGGATCCACCATATCCATAATCTCCTTATTCTGGTCAGCTATCGGAATTTCACTTCTTGAGAAGAGAATATAGATTCTTCGCCACACGGTTTTCACATCAAATCGACCAAAGTCGGCCTCAGCTCTTCCAGGTTCCTGAACAAATTAATTCTAAATATTATCAGTCTTTGGATTATGTCTCAAATTTTTTAGTATTAGATCCCAAATCAAACAGTGGAGTACCTTCCAGCGGAAAATGTAGAAACCTTCAGGGAGGCCCTGGTATCGATTAGGTTTAGGAACGAAGAAAGGCACACCCAATGAAACAATCCCAGAAATCCTTTCTGGATGAAGAATGGAGAGCAGATACGCAGGCCATGATCCAAAATCTTTCCCAATAAGAAAAGCCTGTCATCAATTTCACTTTAGTTTCTGAGTTTCACACTAGAATAAGATCTTGCATCAGTTCAAGAAATGTCACCTTGTCAATATGAAAATAATCAAGAATGGTAAGCGTGTCCTCAACAAAGTCATTGAAAGATGCCTTTTCAGGTTCAGGGTGGGGTTCAGATAATCCATATCCTCTTAAATCAGGTGCAATTGTACGGAATCCGGCGGCCGCCAAGGTCAACATTTGATGCCTCCATGAATACCATGCCTCTGGGAACCCATGAATAAATACTACCACTCTTGGACCTGTAAGAAAGAAGATCAAAGACTCAATATTTTTATTTCATTTCAACATGAAACAACTGTGTGAATCTGAACCTGTTCCAATTTCAGCAACGTGAAGCTTCACTCCTCTTACGTCGATACACTTGTGCTGTATCCGATCCATCGACAGAGTTCAGAGTTCAGACAAGAAGGTTTACTGTTTGCAGTAGTGGTCAATGTCAAACACTTGTTGAAAAGCTTATAAACCAAAGAGCAAACGCATATCCCACCGCAGGTTTGGCCAAATTCTAAGGTGGCACCTTGGTTTGTATTTATTTTAGATTTCTACCGCTGATGTTTTTAAGGTTACAAAAGATGCTATTATCATAATTCCCTTAAAAAATAAATTAATAAATCACTTTTCAATCCCCAAATTAGTAGAATTATAAAATTAACTAGCTTACTTTCAAATTTATTTCAATAACACTCTTTACGACTATGCACCCTCTCAGGTTTTGCTCGATCTGGGCTTTTTTGAAGGGTCGAATCCTCCTGTCACCTCCATCATGTTCCCCATAGCCCTTACTCCAAAACCCCCTATGTTTCCCGATTGATTGACCCCTTCGATTATTGGTGCTGTTATCCTTAAGGTTTCGTTGTTCATGGCCAGACTTCGACTGTCAAAATCCAATTGGACACTGCCACTGCAACTAGCGTCTCCAACTCTACAAAACCCCTCTATCCCTAGCAACCAATTAATCGCTGTTCGTCGGCCAAGAGGTTTGTGTTCATGGTGTTTTTTGGTCAAGTGGTGAACAAAAAACAGTGAGCTGCCATGGCGTAGACGGATGGGGGTTCAAATGGTAATGACAAAGGTGATTTTGGGTGGAAGCATTGCTAGAAAAGGGCGAAAAACTATTCCCAATTCATTAAGAAAGTGGAAATGGTCCCGTTTTGCAATCAGGTCAACTAGATGACCATGTCCATTTCGTTACTAATAAATGCTTTTCATTCTTATTACTAATTTCTTGCTAATATTCTGCTTCTTATAAAAACATAAAAACATCTGAGGTAACCATTGCAGAGATTTTGTTGCGTGTTCAAGTCAGGTTTAGTTCATAGTAACCACAATTTTTGAAATACTTTAGTGATACATTGTTGGACATTACATATTTTTACATACAAAATTCAAGAATCCCAAATGGAGAATCTGAATTTGAGGTGTTTTTGAGTTGCATATGTTCATTTTCTCCTTATTTTTCAGCCTGTTTTCTCAGAACTCTTGTCCTTTAACAGGCTAATTACCACAGGACTTTTTTTTTTTTAATTTTAAAATGTATTAAACATTTTTCATTTTGAAACACTGGCTGCCAGCCTATTCAATTCATCAGTTGTATTTAGATAATGCCAAATTCTAAATGCACTTCTTGATGATCATATGAGGCTTTCCTTGAATTTATTAATAGTGCAGTTCAGGTGTGTAAAAAGATATATTACAAGCCACACAGAAGGCAAGTACATAAGTAACTTTCTCAAACACATTATTCAAGCGACATTCATATCTATTTCAAGGACCTTACATTCTTCAAGGAAGCCTTGTAACTCATACATATTTGTTGAGGAAGGTGAGGATTAGCTGATTCACCTGTTCAGGCAATTGTTCATGAACAAAATGGGTCCCCTCTGGCAAATATACGATCTCCAAATCTGGGACAAATTGTTTCACCTTTCCGCTTCTTATATAGTCCTCCATCCCCGGAAATTTAAAGACGTAATCTTGGTCACCCATGATCAGTAGAGCTGGAACTTTAACTATATTTTCTGCTACACCATTATCTTCCTGAAAACTCCTACAATTATGAAATTACAAAAATCAAGTCAAATCGTAATCAACCTACAACTCAGTTGACTTTCCTTAACAATGCCACCGCTACTCAGACATCAAATGTGAACCGAATGAACAATTAATGCATCATGCTCTGGAAGAATGACAGTAACAATCTGTAATATGAAGCAGGATGCTGACTGGCTATGGTAGAGAATCAAAACCATGAAGTGGTATAGAACATAAATGCACAAGTCAGTCCCTAAATAGGATTAAGCTTATTACCTATAAGGAACTTGCAATGCGGTTTGAAATCCGGATTTTTCATACAAAGTTCCATATTCTGCAAGATCTTCCTCTGTAAACCAAGGTGGAAGAGGAGTAGAAGCATCGACCAAATCCATGATCTCTTGGTTTTCGGCAGCTATTGGTATTTCACTTCTAGAGAAGAGTATGTAGATGTTCCTTACTACCGTCTTTGCATCAAGTCGGCCAAAATCAGCTTCTGCTCGTCCAGGTTCCTGATCAAGCATCAAAGATATGAAAATCGGCAAACCAAGTTGTTCCTCTATGCTATACATGTGAAAAGTAATGAACCCACAAGAATACCTGCCATCTTGCTATATAGAAGCCTTCAGGAAGAGTATCGCGGAATCGAGAGGGACCTGGAGGCATAAATGGCACTCCCATTGTTACAACTCCTCGAACCCTCTCTGGATGGAGAAGGGCAAACTGATAGGCCGGCCGGGCTCCAAAATCTTTTGCAACAAGAAAAACCTACGCTTATTGGGAAAGAGCATATCGTTAACATCCCCTTGATCTTAAACAATAACTTGGTCACAGAAATTCCCAACAAAGACACTCATGATAGTCCTGTTTTCAATAGATTCTGAGAAGATTGTTATTTATTCTATTGAAAGTCAAACTTGTTTTTTAAGGAACATCCCAGCAATCAATTTACTTAAATATTTTCAAACAGAATTTGACACTGAAATTTTCAGATTACATATCTGTTAAACTTAAACAAGAAACTACAAATACCTTGGAAATTCCGAGGTGGTCTAAAATTGCAAGGAGATCGTTTATGATGTCTTTAAAGGTGGCCTTTTCAGGTTGAGATGGTGGGTCTGATAAGCCGTAGCCTCTATAATCAGGAGCAATAGCCCTGAAGCCAGCATTTGCAGCAGCCACCATCTGATGGCGCCACGTGTACCATATCTCAGGGAAACCGTGCAAGAACACCACCACGTTAGGACCTGGAGATTATATTACAGATTAGAAACGAAGGGTGTTTGATTGCAAATATTTGAAACATAAGATATCGGAGACGGGTGAGAAACCTGTTCCGGTGTCGGCAATGTGAAGGTTGAGTCCCTGTACATTGATGAACTTGTGCTGGATTTTGTCCATGTTCAGAGGCACATTAAAAATGGGGACAGATTCTTATAACAAGAGTGCAGTGAGAGATAAGTCCATTGAACTTTGTCTTTAAGTCAAACTCCAAGATACCTCCATTTTACCTACTTTGGGTTATTCTTTATACACCCCTGAAAGTATTTAAAATTTAGAGTGCCCCATCAAGTACATAAACCCTAATTGTTCTAAGAAAACGTGAAGAAGGTGTTCACTATTTAGACTGTGATTTTGTTTTTAAAAATGCAGGAAATATTGGATTTCATTTACGGCATAAAAACTAACTGGTGGAGGGTATTTTTGTCTTCACAATTAATATTATTGTATTTAACAAAAATTATTAATGTAATATAATGTTTGGATAATAAAATGATATTTTAAAAGTCCTTAGATGGGAAAGTGTTATTAAACTATTCTTTTGGTGAGAAAAAGTATTTTACTCTTATATAATCTCGTCTCCTTTCAAACTATTAACTGTAATTTATAGGGAGAACGAAATTTTCCACCCAAGGTTTGGTGTAACAACACTTTCCCACCCACCGTTATATTCCATTAAGAAAATCCACTACTATTTAACTATAAAGACGAAAATACTCTTTATTATTTGATTTAATAATTTTTTTTATTATTTTATGTTATATAACTGAGTCAATTACCAATATACTCTCTCTTTAAATTTGAAAAATTGTATATAATTTTTAGTTAAATTCCAGTAAAACATTATTTTTAATAAAAAAGTTGAGATAAATTGTAAATTTGCATTCCCATTAACAATAACAATACCCTGTAATTGAGCAGTAATAAAAGGTGTTGGGTGGGTATAAAAATAAGCATTGTGAAGATTCTAAAGAGAGAGAAGAAGAGAAACATTAACTTTTTTTTTTTTCTTTTGATTGGTTCATGTCTCTGCTTTCATTTCTTTACTACCCACACCCCATACTCTTTGGAACAACAACAACATTTTGCAAAATCAAAATTATTTCTCTAGTATTCGCATAGACCATAGTACTCACCACCCAAAACCCTGAAACCTACATGGCTTCTCTAACATCTCTCTTTCATTCCCCAACCTTAATTTCCTGCTGTTCATCATCTTCTTCATCTCCTTCCTCCACCAAATGTATTCTGCCCACATCATCTTCTTCTTCTCCTTCCTTCACGAAATGTATTCTGCCCACATCATCTTCTTCTTCTCTTTCCTCCACCAAACCCATTAAAATTTCCATTCTCTACTGATATTATTCAACTGAAATTCATATAAATTTATTTTTTTTCAGGAACCCAAACAACACAGCATAACATCTAGCAAAGCCATTGAAGTTTTTTGCTCTCTACTGAAATTTAACAATTAAAATTCATATACAAACTCTTTTCACAACCCACACAAAATTCAATATCCAACAAACGGAAAACACCCGTTTCAAGAAAAGAATCTTCAAATCCTCCGACTACTGAAAATCCACAAAAAATGAACCCCAAACCCACAAACCATAAGATCCAAAAGAAAAAGAGTGTGGGAAAAGAAAAGGGGTTATGATGTCGGTGTCAGTGTCACTGTCGAGCTGGGTGTCTGTGATGCTGCCTTCGGCAGCGATTTGGTTGGCTGCTAGCTAAGTTGGTGGCGTCGCAGCTAGCCTAGCTTGTGGCTGAAGGTTTCGATGCTGCCAGCTTAGCTGGCGATTGTGGGTTACGCCGGCATCGCAGTCTCCAGCGTAGAAGGAAGAGATGATGGTGAAGATAAGAAAAAAAAAAGAAAAAAAAAAAAAAAGGAAAAAGCATATTTCAGTTTTTAAATTTTGATTTACGAGGTTTATGTAAATTGATCATCTTACCCTTCTTCATAACAGATTTTCTTAATAAAACATAACGGTGGGTGGGAAAGTGTGGTTTTGAAATTTAACAGGTGGGAAAATATCGTTCCCAAACCTTGGGTGGGAAAATGATGCTCTCCCTAATTTATAAATAGTATAAATATTAAAAAATGAGAATGCATATATAATTTGACTTATAATTAAATATTTCTTCAATATAATATAGTATAAAGCACATACGCTTGAATTATGGCATGCTTAAACCCTAAAGTCCAAACATACATTTTTCTTTTTTCTTTTTTAACCCACATAAATGAATTTAATTAAGAGTAATAATTATCCTAGAAATCTTATCAACATATTTGATTTGTGGTCATATATATGTTACTATTATATACTTACAACATACTATATATGTAACATAATTTATTTAATTAAATACAATTTAAAACAAATAAACATCAACATTATACATTAATCTAATTCGAGGGCTATTTGACGAGGCTGTCCACTAATTTAGTATCCGAAAACAAGCCACACAGAAGCAAAGTAATAGTACACAAGTAACTTTCTCTCACACAATATTCAAGCCACATTCATATTATTTCAAGGACCTCAAATAAGCCTCAGCAATCTGTTACATTCTTCCAGGAAGCCTCGAACTCATACATGTTTGTTGAGGAAGGTCAGAATTATCTGATTCACCTCATCAGGCAATTGTTCCTGAACAAAATGCGTTCCCTCAGGCAAATGCACGATCTCCAAATCCGGGACAAAATCTTTCACCTTCCCGCTCCTTATATACTCCTCCATCCCCGGAAATTTAAGCACATAATCTTTGTCTCCCATGATTAGTAGAGCTGGAACTTTAACTGTCAGTTCTGCAACGCCGTAATCTTCATGAAATTTCCTACAAAATTCCAAATTCAAGTCAAATTGTAATTAGCCTTCAACTCGTGAAATGTTGTTGAATATGTGTCTTATTTACCTATAGGGAACTTGCAATGCAGTTTGAAATCCAGATTTTTCGTATAGAGCTCCGTATTCTGCAAGATCTTCCTCTGTAAACCAAGCTGGAAGAGGAGTAGAAGCGTCCACCAAATCCATGATCTCCTGGTTTTCGGCTGCGATTGGTATTTCACTTCTAGAGAAGAGTATGTAGATGTTCTTTACTACCGTCTTTGCATCAAGGCGGCCAAAATCAGCTTCGGCGCGCCCAGGTTCCTGATCAAGCATGTTACGAAAATCAGAAAACAAATTGTTTCTCCATTGTTCTACATGTTAAAAGGGATGAACCTACAAGAGTACCTGCCATCTTAATATATAGAAGCCTTCAGGAAGATTTTGGCGGAATTGAGAGAGCTCTGGAGGCATAAATGGCACTCCTAATGTTACAACTCCTGCAACCCTCTCTGGATGGAGTAGGGCAAACTGGTATGCCGGCCGGGCTCCAAAATCTTTTGCCACAAGAAAAACCTATGCTCATTCAGAAAGACCAAATTGTAAAGATCCCAATTCATCTTAATCTAAAACAAATTAAGCCCTTTTTATCTGTTGCTCAGAGCACTCCTGTTTTCATCGTATTCTGAGAAAATTGTTATTTATTCTACTGAAACTCAAACTTTTTTTTTTTTATCTGCACATATAATTTGACACTGCAATTTTTAGAAGACATTTCTGTTTGTACCTTTGCAAGTCCAAGGTGGCTAGAATTGCAAGGAGATCGTTTATGAAGTCTTTATAGGTGGCCTTTTCGGGTTGAGGTGGTGGGTCTGATAAGCCGTAGCCTCTACAATCAGGTGCAATAGCCCTGAAGCCAGCATTTGCAGCGGCTAACAACTGATGGCGCCACGTGTACCATATCTCAGGAAATCCGTGCAAGAACACCACCACGTTAGGACCTGGAAGATTATTACAGATTAGAAATGGAACATAAGTAGAGTATGATGAGATTACAAAGAGAAACCTGTTCCGGTCTCAGCAATGTGAAGGTTGGGTCCCTGTACATTGATGAAGTTGTGGCGGATTGTGTCCATTTTCAGAGGGAGATTAGGAATGTGATTATGAATTAAGGCGGCCTTAAGCTTTTATTAGTCGGACTCGGGTTAGAGAGTCTTATCAGAATTCATCAGTGTCTGATAAGTCCATTGAATTTGTACAAATTCCAAAAGAAAAATAATACAGTCATTCATTGACGGTAGTGCACCAAACTTATACATCGAATAATGTGACAAAATATTGATCATTGATTAATTTTAACTTAATATTAATAAACGGTCAGGATTTTGTTACGTCATTTGGTGCATAAATTCGGTGCACTACTTCGATGACTATAACATTACTCAATTCCAAAATGCCTGCTTTTTACCTACTTAGAGATAATGTCAAGAAATCAATCACGTCAGTCAATCTGCAAACCAAATATCTTAGGTAAATAATATATTATTATTATACAAATGATATATCATTTGATTAAATTTCGAGTAATCCCTGATTCTACGCCCAATAGAACTGGGAATTTTGGCCCAGGCCCAAAAACCGGACTTGAGACCGATCCTTGAGAGGATCCGTCCTATAAGGTCTGGGCGAAAACCCAAACCAGGGGCAGTCCCTCCTCCTAGTCCAAGGCCCAGGCCCAAACCCCCCTTCTTAATTTCATTTATACCCTTGGCAAATATCCATAACATTTTATTTTATACGAAATTGATAATAAATATAAGGTTTAAAATAAATTTTACAAAATAAATAAATAAATAAATAAAGAATTTGACCGTTGAGCCACGGTCAACTAACCGTTGAGGCAACAATCATGGTGGGAAAAAAATTATTTTCTTTCACTTGCCCCCCAAACCTAAACTATAATAACCCTTTAAACCACACAATTTCCTCACAACTCTCAATCTCTCTACTCCAATTCTCAAACTCTCTTCAATTTATATTTATATTTATTCATCTATTATTCATATTATTATTTATATTATCCAATTTCTTCGATTTTAGTTATTTATTATTTTATCATAAATTCATAATGGAAGGGTTTGAACCATTTTCACCATTTCCAGAGGCAGCAATTCCACAACCAGAAACGGGTAAGACTGTGTCCAACCAAACACAATCGAGCTGCGACACCACCGTCGAAGAGGGTCGTGTCCGGGGTATGACAATTCTTCACCAAATCAAAACGGGCAAAGCCAAATGGGCAGGGGGGAGAGACGTGCGGGGTATGTAATTTTTGTCCAACTGTTATCGGCACTGAGCACAGGACTTCGACAATGC